AGACTTCTATCATCCGATAATCATCCCCATATGCGCCGATCTGTTGGACTTATCATGGGTTTGCACCGCATTTAATCGGCTAGCATTCCTTGTACTTCCTCAGCATACTAGGGTTGCACAATGCCCCAAATCTTCCAGGTCCCGGTATTGCTGATCCTTGGTACGCCAACGGGTTACAGACATTTTTTCCCGATGCGAACGATAGTCACCATAACACAGGATTAAATTCGAAAATCGTTGTTTGTAGGATTCGAACTCTTAACCTGCTACTTGGTGAGGTGACAACTAGACCACTTCACTAAGTCGCCACACCCTTTGAAATTTAATGTTAAAAGTTAAAAACTCAATAGTACTATGTGATGAACTTTGATCTTTATGTGTTTTAAAAAATATTACCTATTTAGCCCCAGAAATCGACATCGAAATCAGATAAAACAGTACATTTTATATGCTTACTAAGTTTAAAAAAATCGAAAATGTTTTAAGAATGTTAATTATAAACCATAGCAAGTTAGCTAAAATTTTTCCAAATTTAGAGGATTTAGATCATATTAATGATATACTAATTTTACTTGAACCAATGAAAAAAGCAACAAAACTTCTCTCTGCCTCTTCATATTCTACGATGGGTTTAGTGTATAGAGTATTTTTGGCAATCCAAAGACACCTTGATATTTATATTGGCAAATCCGAATTTAAAAAATGCGAAATGGCTTCATCAATTTTTCAAAAAATTGAATTATATTGGGAAATAATGGATGATCAGTGTATCATCTCAACTATTCTAGATCCAAGATATAAATTGTCAGATTTTGAAGATGAAAAACGAATTACTGCCATTAATATAATTAAAAATGTTTTTCATACTTATCTTCAACTTAATCATAGTACTGCTCCTACTCCTACTACTTTTTTAACATCTCCTGAAATGCCCCAAAATCTACATGAGTATTTTGCTCATCTTAACAATCGCAATCATAACCATTTACTTAGTTCACAAAACAATGAATTAGATTGCTATTTGATATTAGCTGAAGATCTTGGGATTGAACCATTGACATGGTGGTTTTGTCATACTAATGAATTTCCTATATTAAGCTTAATGGCAAAAGATTACTTGGTATTACAAGCCACCAGCGTAAGCTGTGAACAAGCTTTTAGCGTTGCTGGTAATGCTTTTAGCAAAAGAAAAAATCGGCTTAAACCTTCGACAGCACGTGCCAGCTTATGTTTAAAAAGTTGGCTCAAGAAAGAAATAAGAGCTTAAATTTTTTTTTTTTTTAGAAATCGCCAAAGGTTTTTTTTTTTTTTTTGAATTTAGAAATCGCCAAAGGTGATATTTTTTTTTTTGATTATGTCTCAGAATTTTTTTATCTAAGTTAAAATTAGACTTTAGATTATGGTTAGAATCAAAGTAAAAGTTATAGATTTGAATTTTTTAGGGCGTTAAACTTTTTTACTTGTACTTCAAGCATTAAGTATTAATACCACTTTTGAAAAATAGTATACCTGGTGAATTTCACCTCCAGTAAGTATTAAAATCTTTCTTTTTTTTTAACACCTTTTAAAAAGGGACGCCAGAAGGCATATTTTAGAACTTAAATTAGAATAGGTTTAAAATAAATAATGTTGTAATAGTTTAACGATTAAATATACTTTTTAAGGCTTTACATGGAATCACTTATCTGTTATTATCAAAGTATCAAGACAAGCTCCAAATATTCTTACAATATTAGGTGCACCTATTATTAAATGAGTTCCATTTTAGTATAAAGATTAAATTTTGTTAAATCTGTTAAAAGAAAAGATTTTTTGCTTTTATCGTTATCGCTATCGCTATTTGGTAAAATTATTATGTCATTAGACCTGTGGGTCAGCCCATGGGCTGACCCGCGCGTCATGTAGATCAATTGCCCATGGGCCAGGCCGGGTCGTCCCATGGCCCATGCGGGCCTAACCTGTGACCGACCCGACCCGGCCTGTATAAACACTACTAGCCAGAGATATATAACTAATATATCTCTGGCCTATTGGCCAATCAAAATGAACAACAGTCACGTGACCCGTTTTCCAGATCGCCGGCTGATCGGAAAGGCCCATGTACTCCAAAATCCGACCTTACTTTACGGACTTCACCATTATCCAATCAAATTGCAAAAAAAAAATTTACAGGTAAAATTTGATGTAATAATCTTAACTTTAAGTGAAGATAACTTAGCAGCTACCTGATCAAATTCGAAGAAAATTTTTTTATTTGAATTCTATGGATCCATAAAATTCAAATAAAAAATTTTTTCTCGGATTTGGTTAAGAGGTTGCTAAGATACCTTTGCTCAAATTTTTGGAAAAAAATCAAACCATTTATTAATACAGCTGCACCAAATTTTTCTAAACCTTTAAGCAAAGGTAACTTAGCAACCACCTAATCAAATTTGATGAAAAATTTTTTATTTGAATTCTATGGATTCATAGAATTCAAAAAAAAAAAAAATTATCAGATTTGGTTAGGTGGTTGCTAAGCTATCTTCGCTCAACGTTTTGGAAAAAAATCAAAACACATATCAAAATGCAAGCAGTGCCAAATTTTTCTAAAACTTTGAGTGAAGGTAACTTAGCAACCACCTGACCAAATTCGAAGAAAATTTTTTTATTTGAATTCTATGGATCCATAGAATTCAAATAAAAAAATTTTCTTCGAATTTGGTCAGGTGGTTGCTAAGTTACCTTCACTCAAAGTTTTAGAAAAATTTGGCACTGCTTGCATTTTGATATGTGTTTTGATTTTTTTCCAAAACGTTGAGCGAAGATAGCTTAGCAACCACCTAACCAAATCTGATAATTTTTTTTTTTTTTGAATTCTATGAATCCATAGAATTCAAATAAAAAATTTTTCATCAAATTTGATTAGGTGGTTGCTAAGTTACCTTTGCTTAAAGGTTTAGAAAAATTTGGTGCAGCTGTATTAATAAATGGTTTGATTTTTTTCCAAAAATTTGAGCAAAGGTATCTTAGCAACCTCTTAACCAAATCCGAGAAAAAATTTTTTATTTGAATTTTATGGATCCATAGAATTCAAATAAAAAAATTTTCTTCGAATTTGATCAGGTAGCTGCTAAGTTATCTTCACTTAAAGTTAAGATTATTACATCAAATTTTACCTGTAAATTTTTTTTTTGCAATTTGATTGGATAATGGTGAAGTCCGTAAAGTAAGGTCGGATTTTGGAGTACATGGGCCTTTCCGATCAGCCGGCGATCTGGAAAACGGGTCACGTGACTGTTGTTCATTTTGATTGGCCAATAGGCCAGAGATATATTAGTTATATATCTCTGGCTAGTAGTGTTTATACAGGCCGGGTCGGGTCGGTCACAGGTTAGGCCCGCATGGGCCATGGGACGACCCGGCCTGGCCCATGGGCAATTGATCTACATGACGCGCGGGTCAGCCCATGGGCTGACCCACAGGTCTAATGACATAATAATTTTACCAAATAGCGATAGCGATAACGATAAAAGCAAAAAATCTTTTCTTTTAACAGATTTAACAAAATTTAATCTTTATACTAAAATGGAACTCATTTAATAATAGGTGCACCTAATATTGTAAGAATATTTGGAGCTTGTCTTGATACTTTGATAATAACAGATAAGTGATTCCATGTAAAGCCTTAAAAAGTATATTTAATCGTTAAACTATTACAACATTATTTATTTTAAACCTATTCTAATTTAAGTTCTAAAATATGCCTTCTGGCGTCCCTTTTTAAAAGGTGTTAAAAAAAAAGAAAGATTTTAATACTTACTGGAGGTGAAATTCACCAGGTATACTATTTTTCAAAAGTGGTATTAATACTTAATGCTTGAAGTACAAGTAAAAAAGTTTAACGCCCTAAAAAATTCAAATCTATAACTTTTACTTTGATTCTAACCATAATCTAAAGTCTAATTTTAACTTAGATAAAAAAATTCTGAGACATAATCAAAAAAAAAAATATCACCTTTGGCGATTTCTAAATTCAAAAAAAAAAAAAAAACCTTTGGCGATTTCTAAAAAAAAAAAAAATTTAAGCTCTTATTTCTTTCTTGAGCCAACTTTTTAAACATAAGCTGGCACGTGCTGTCGAAGGTTTAAGCCGATTTTTTCTTTTGCTAAAAGCATTACCAGCAACGCTAAAAGCTTGTTCACAGCTTACGCTGGTGGCTTGTAATACCAAGTAATCTTTTGCCATTAAGCTTAATATAGGAAATTCATTAGTATGACAAAACCACCATGTCAATGGTTCAATCCCAAGATCTTCAGCTAATATCAAATAGCAATCTAATTCATTGTTTTGTGAACTAAGTAAATGGTTATGATTGCGATTGTTAAGATGAGCAAAATACTCATGTAGATTTTGGGGCATTTCAGGAGATGTTAAAAAAGTAGTAGGAGTAGGAGCAGTACTATGATTAAGTTGAAGATAAGTATGAAAAACATTTTTAATTATATTAATGGCAGTAATTCGTTTTTCATCTTCAAAATCTGACAATTTATATCTTGGATCTAGAATAGTTGAGATGATACACTGATCATCCATTATTTCCCAATATAATTCAATTTTTTGAAAAATTGATGAAGCCATTTCGCATTTTTTAAATTCGGATTTGCCAATATAAATATCAAGGTGTCTTTGGATTGCCAAAAATACTCTATACACTAAACCCATCGTAGAATATGAAGAGGCAGAGAGAAGTTTTGTTGCTTTTTTCATTGGTTCAAGTAAAATTAGTATATCATTAATATGATCTAAATCCTCTAAATTTGGAAAAATTTTAGCTAACTTGCTATGGTTTATAATTAACATTCTTAAAACATTTTCGATTTTTTTAAACTTAGTAAGCATATAAAATGTACTGTTTTATCTGATTTCGATGTCGATTTCTGGGGCTAAATAGGTAATATTTTTTAAAACACATAAAGATCAAAGTTCATCACATAGTACTATTGAGTTTTTAACTTTTAACATTAAATTTCAAAGGGTGTGGCGACTTAGTGAAGTGGTCTAGTTGTCACCTCACCAAGTAGCAGGTTAAGAGTTCGAATCCTACAAACAACGATTTTCGAATTTAATCCTGTGTTATGGTGACTATCGTTCGCATCGGGAAAAAATGTCTGTAACCCGTTGGCGTACCAAGGATCAGCAATACCGGGACCTGGAAGATTTGGGGCATTGTGCAACCCTAGTATGCTGAGGAAGTACAAGGAATGCTAGCCGATTAAATGCGGTGCAAACCCATGATAAGTCCAACAGATCGGCGCATATGGGGATGATTATCGGATGATAGAAGTCT